TCATTTTCCTTGCAGTTGTGACAGCTACTTTCTTGTGTTCTTTAAAAGTAAGGTATTCTGACATGATAATTCCCAATTCTTTTTATATTGCTATTTTGTTCTGTAGTGTGATTTGACTGCATTTTATATTGTTTTCCACTTGCATATTTTAATTTTTCCAAAAGCATAGGAGCTGAAACTTACTTTCATTGAACATTATATTTTCTGTGGCCCATTGAAAGACCTGATTTACATCAGTTTGGAGGTTTGCTGTGTCCTTAATATTGCCTACTCTCATTAAAATCCTTTTGTCATCTGCGAAGGATGATATGGTACCATAGTTTGCATCTTTGTTTATATCCGATATGAGGATGAGAAAAATGCAGCAACAAGCACAGTACACTGGGTGACACTTTGTTGACTATTACACACTGGGCTCTATTTGTAGAAAGATCCATGTTCCTACCCTGCCATTAGTTATGAGTACATTTTGTGTCAAATAACATGATCACACTTGTCAAAAGCTTTCACAAAATCTATGTATATTACATCAGTGTTTTGCTTGTCTTCCATAGCAGCTTAAGCCACATCATAGTGGTCTAGTTGCAGGAGGGTCCTGTTCTGAATCCTATGTTGCCCAGGGTTACATAAATGCTGTGATTTCGTGTGTTTTGTGATCTAGCACTCTTGAAAGATTTTTGTGTGTGATGTTAGTGGCATTGGTCTACAAACACCTTGCCGCAGACGTCTCCATCATGCTCTTGTCGTTTTGGGCGAGTGTGGGGCGACACTGAAATGTGTATACTCGTTTCAGGTTTCTCACCTTAATTCTCGTGCTATGTCGTTCGTTTTGATATCATTGTGTTCGCAATAGAATTCCCTACCGGGTTATATGCATATAAGATCCAAAAGCCCGACATGACTCCCCCACAGCAATGCCTAAAGTTGGCAAAACGTTGCCCTTGAACGAACAAAATCAGTGAAATGTGTATACAGGTACTTCTTTCCATTTTCTCACCTTAATTCTCATGCTGCGTCATGCATTTTGGTATCATTGTGTTGGCAATAGAATTCCCTACAGGGGTATATACATATAAGGTCCAAAAGCCCGGTGTGACTCCCCCCCCCCCCTACAGCAAAGCCTAAAATCGGCCAACTGTTACCAGTGAACGAGCACCAATTGGCACAATGTGTATACTCATTCAGTTTGATAACATTCATTTTCATGTTACGTCTTTCATATTGGTATCAAATTGTTTGCAATCTAAAGGGCACACCTTAAAACTAGTCTCATAATAATAGAACAATAAATGGAATTTTAACAAATATTTAAAATTTTGGACGCTCATCACCACAAAATTTATATATCTTTCCAATGTTCTGACATTAATTTTTGTGTTACGTCTTTCATTTTGGTATCAAATTGTTCGCAGTCTAAAGGCGCGCATTTAAACCTAGTCCCATAATAATAAAACAATAAATGAAATTTTGACAAATATTTTAAATTTTGGCCGATAAAAGTATTTATAATCTTTCCTGTGTTCTGACCTTAATTGTCAGACTACGTTGTCATTATTGTATTATATTGTGCGCAATGTAAAGGCGCTCATTTTGAAACAACTCTCAGATTGATCGGATAAAATTTAAATTTTTTTACAAATATTTTAATAATGGACACAAGCACGTGTCCACCGCTCGGACTCAAGAAAAAAATATTGGACGCACATTTGCTCCATAGAGCAAGAGAGAGTGATATTAATTGCCAATGCATTACTTCCTTATTTATTGAGTGGTGTTTCCTATGCTGTTTTAAGTATTTCAGAGATAGCACCAATATCTAGGCACCATTTCTTACAAATGTTAAGGGCCTGTGATGGTGGTTTTTTGCAGTTTTGATGAATATGGAATTCCAGGAATCTGGGCAAAGTGTATGGGCATGCTCTCTATGGCTGCTTCAAAGTTCAGTGAGGGTAGGGTGACATCTAATATATGATTTGATGTTGGTATCACATACAAGAAGAATTCCTTTGTATGTGAAGAAACCACTAAACAACTTCAATATTTAGTGGTTCACTGAAAACAGAATTGTACTGTATCCTCATTATCTCACAAATTTTTTGTTGTCACCTGTGAAAATTCCATCTTCCTTGTGCAGGGACCCAATTTTAGATTTAGTTTTTGTATAGGAGAAAAAGTATTTTGGATTCCACTCTTATTTCACCGATGGCCTTTTGCTCTTTTCACCTCTCCTGGGTTTTATATGATTTTTGTACCTCTACCTCAATCTTTTCTATTTCTCTACAAAGCCTTCCTTCTTATTCTTGGGATAGGGCAGGGTAATTGTTCTCAATAGTAAACCAAGTGTGTTCTCAAAGCATAACATTTCTGTTTCTTCTGCTATAGGGTTTAAGAGTCTTGTACTTCGGTAAACCATGAACTTGGGAAATTACAATTCGTATAATTTATGAACGCATTACATCCATTCACATCCAAAATATTTGTTAGTAAATATTTTGTAAGCAAGAAAATTGCAGCAACAAACAATTATATTGTTTGCTACCATGCTCAAAGATAGGCAGCAACAAACAATATAAATGGTTTTCTCTTTTGTAATATGTAGCCTAACATCCGTTTTGTTTTTCATTGATGCCAGTTATCGCATAAAGTCCTAAAATAATTATTGCCATAAATTATCTTGCTGTACATAAAAGCAAAAAATAAATTTTATCAGTCACAGAAAGTAAAATATGTTTAGTTCAGACTTTTCAAAAAATTTTCGAAAATAGAATCTATTACGTAGGATGACAAAATTATATTCTCAAATTCTGTATATTTAAAACAAAATTATTTTTACTCTACAGTATTTGTTTATCTGGCACATTATCCTTGTTGCATGTGCCATGAATAAATATCCTGGTAAAACAAAATGATGGGTATTTAGCCATTTTTAGGCTAATTTTTTCTGTCACAAACTTGGTACGTCATATTATGTACTGTATACTTTGAGAGTGATGGATATCTGAATCAATCAATAGCTAACTCATGCTAAGCTACGGTATGTATTTACCCACCACTCTTAGTTCTCATCTTAGTTCTCTCTTAGTTTTCCTAAGTTATCCTGTAATTACACTTTAGGTAATTGCATAAACATACTCTTTCGGTGAAAACTCAATGGTGCTTCATCACTTGGATCCTGTTTTACCAGTCACAGTGTGTCAAATGAGATATATCCTGGTCTAAATTTATTGTCCTGTTTCTTCTTTTGAAACTGTAGATGAAGTTGTCTTGTACATCCTGCTCATTTATTCCATTCCATTTTCCTTCTACTCTTACTCCAAAGCAAAACAAAATACTTGGTGAATGGTATCTGATGGTGGCAGTTACCATTCACCTAGCTGGTTTTTCTTCGTCTTGCTCGTCATTCAGCCATAGCAGTGTACCATAGGGAAAGTCTTAAAATCAGTGCTTATACCTTACCATCTGAAATTGGAGTTTTTTAAATTTGGAGTCTTTAAATTGCGAATTATTTCTAAATTGTTTCTTAGGATACAGCATTATTTGCCATTTAAAGAAAAGATCATTTGTGTATGTATGTATATGAAATGAGGGATTTCTCATATGCCAATCTAATAATTGGATGGCCAGTTACAAAATAATAAATGTATTTCATACCTTCAATTTTATAAAGTACTAAGATATTAATTATGTGTTCCCTCATTTGAGGTCTTTATTTTATTCTTCCTAGTATAGTATCCATATTTTTTGTTCTAATTTTATATTTTATTCTCGCCACCACCACCACTATACCAGCCAAACTAGAATGCCAAATTTTTTGTACATACAGTATTTTATTCACTATTATAAGTAACAGTACATCATAAGTATTTTGAGTTTTACTATAAAGATAGTAACTCTAATGTTTTATTTTTTTTTTATAAATTTGTATGTTAACCCCATTGCATTTGGTGCTTGATATGGCATAAACATGGGATGTTTGTATTATTAACAATTAGTATTCAGATTCCTTCCAAAATAGTGGCAGCTTATATAAGCAAAGTGTAGTGATAATGGTCAATCTATATTATTTTTAAGAACCTGAGTAGTCTTCACTTTAGCTGATGTAAGGATGTCATACTATGACTTTAAGGTGGATGTTTTTCTATGAGCTAGACAAACATTTGGTAGATTTGAATTCTGTTTTATCTTAATAAGAATTATTAATAAAGATAAGTGCCAATACAGTACTTTGTTTCTTCTTACAGTAATGAAAAAGTGGCAAAATTTGTGTATTAATTATTGAAGAAAAAAAACAGAAACTATACTGTTGTGATACAGTGTAATGAATTCTGCCAATCTAAGTGTTGAAGCAATGTTTCTTTGACTGGCTTGAATAGTATTGAGACATTCACAACTCTTTGAGCTCATTACCTTGTACAAAACTATATTGAACAGCATGTTTTAAGTGTATTTGTTGTGGTGTGTTCTTCAAGTTAGGGTTACAGATTCATAGTGGGATCTAACTTGCTCTTAAACTTTTTTATTTTTATGCATAATCATAGTGAATGCCTTACAAATGTACTCACTGTTTTTCCTAGGGTTTCCCTATATTAATAAGAAATTGTGCAAATGAATATCAGTAGTATTTTGTATTATTAGAAAGACATTTTATAAAATTATATGGTGAAGAGGCATTTACTATGTGTATTATTTCTTATTGTATAAAAAATATGTATATGAAATGTTCTGCTTTTGTTGCAACATGAACATTTCGTTAAAATCCAAGTAAATACTGGGGTTACTTACCTTCTATATCAAGATAAAATGTTTAATGTGCTAGACTTTCATTTGACACTAGTTCAATTACTGCCAGAAGCCAACACTTTGTTCTAGTCATGGCAGTATGCAACAAATTTAGATGATAATCTTAAGATTCGTTTTTTACCTACACCTTTCTGTGCTCTATAAATTGGTAGTTCTGACCCTTAAGTGAATTCAGTAATTAAGTTAGGCATTCCCGACAGGTGGGACTGTTCAGTGGTGGTTCGAGGAATAGCAGGAGAGGAGCGATCGGCAAGACGCACCAGTGCCCCTACTGTAAATATTCCGCAGTCAGGAAAGACCACATTACAAAGCACATTCGTACCCATACAGGAGAAAAACCATTTAGTTGCCCCTTTTGTACTTATGGTGCTGCCTCAAAAGACAATCTAAAATTACATATTCGAACACACACAGGGGAAAAACCCTTTACTTGTCCCTATTGCCCCTTTCGTGCTTCTCGAAAAGATAGTTTGCAAATTCATATTCGCATTCATACTGGAGAAAAACCTTATACATGTACCAAATGTCCTTACCGTTCCTCTCAGAAGAATTCTTTAGTGTGTCATATGTTGAAACATGGAACATGAATTAAGGGTTTAGTGATTGTTGTTCTCCAAAGCATGGTATTGGGTATTAACCAAATACTGTAAAATTATATAAGCATAGCTTGCAATTGTGATTTTGAAGAATAATAGTTATATTAATAATAACTGACCAAGGATAAACCATGTGATTCGTGTCATAGCACATGAGCAAGTACTGTATTGGAACTAGAAACCCCAACCTTTCTGGGATATTAAAAATAGTAATTCATCAGTCTAGTTAGCACTGTCAGTTTAAATTAAACCTGAAAATCCAGCCAGCTTGGAATATAAGAAAACTGAGCATCTGCTCTTTTATGATTAGGTTGTCACTATAGCTGGTCAATTCATTCTAGTTTCTACTGTGATCAGTCAATAAACTAGAAAAAGGTATTAAAGGTTATTGTCACTATGAAATTGGAAGAAAACTCTACATGAGGAGCATTTCATGTTTGTTGTCATTACTAAAATAACCAAAACTGCAAAAATTAAATGAATGACAATCATATATTTATGCATAAAAGAAAGTCAGTCCTAATGAGTCTCTTTGTGTATTGAAATGTAAATTGATACCTAGGTGTGCTAAACTCTTAATTATCTGCATGGCTTGAGGATAACCCTACTACTGTACTACATAAGCACAATACATTATTCATTCAATAAAACCCATTACTGCACAGTAAGTATATTTTCTATAGCCTAATATTTGCACTGTACAGTCTAATATACACATTGTAAAGCAAATATACATACTGTACAGTCTAATATAAATATACAATAAAAAAGCCAAGAATAAACACTGTATAGTACAGTCTAATTTTCATACCATACAGCCTGATATTGTATACACAATATATGGCCTAATGCACTTTATAACCTAATATGACCTGTACAGCTAATACAGTATATACACACTGCACAGCCTGATACACAAAACACAGCCTAATACATTTACTGAATAGTAAAATATACATTAAAGTCAAATATTCACACTGAACTGTACATACACACTGAACAGTTTGATATTCTGTACATTAATCCCAGATATATACTCTTTATTAAACCTATTCACTCTAAAGTTTGGTATCGAAAAAGTAAGCCAGACCGAGAATCCAGAGTTTATTGTGATACAGTATTGTATGTATTCTAAAAGTAATCAGTCATTTATGTTAATGCATTACATCTTTGTTTTGTAGACATTGAATGTGACTCTATTAAAAGTAGGACTTTTACATAAAAAAAAAATAATTTGCATGAGCCCCACCAAATATACAGATGAATTTAATCAGAAAAAGTCTCACTGGAGGATGTACTTATAAGTGAGCTAACGGAACTGATATTGAGGTATGGGCATTGAATGCTTTTCATCATTTGTTGGGTGTACAATGCTGTATGAGCTTGCTCATCTTGACTATATGGAAAGGACCCACACTGGATAAGCAGTATTTCCTACTGGAAAAGTCCAAAAATGAACATATTCACAATTTTTTGTACCACAACCAACATAATTTGAATTTCCACACACTATCATTAAAAAATACATTATACCTGTACTGTAATTTAAAACAAAAACTTCACCTCACCTTGTTGTAGTTCATCTTCTTGATTGAAGCTGCACATCTGGAAATTAATAATTCTTGACAATTTATGTAACCTAACAACATTAAAATTACTGTATAGTACATGAGCGTGGCAAGGTCACTTTTGACTCCCAGCTGCTGAAGCGTTACTAGTTGCAGGCTCTTGGCTTTTTGATGAGGCTTCACTGGTTGAAGGTCATTGGCTTGTTTGTGAGGCATCAGTGATTGAAGGGCCATGGCATGCTTTTTTTTACCAAATAAGAATGGAGTTGTGCTTACCTCCAATGTTCATTCGCCTCTCTTATGATCAGCTCTGGTTCACCTCAAGTACTGATACATGTTTACATCTTCTGGATTAGCACAGGTTGATGAAAAATTAAGTAGCATGTCAACAGAAATTAATAAACTGTACAGTATTTGTTTGTCTATGGTATTGTCAGCACAATCTTCTTCCTCTTAACACCTGGACAATTGCTGCTACTAGTCTTGGCAAAAAATAACAAAGTTACTATGAAAACTAAAAATTTATTAAAGAAAATGTTTCACTAATGGCATGGCACTGTGGTAAAATATGAGGGATCAAGAGCACATGGCCTTTTTAGCTTGACCAGGCTTGGACGGGCCCACTTAGGGCAGACAGACACGTTGCATAGGTCGGCAGGTGGGAAAAATCACCAAATTTTAGCAGGAAACTACAGTCTTCAGTCTGTACACGTAGTGTTTAGGAAATTTGTGTTTGTTGTAATATTAGATAATATTTCTTTGGGTTTTTACTTCAATAAATTGTTTACCCTCGTCACCCAAACAGTCCCTCCCGACACTCCTTACCTCGAAACCACCCATCCTAACACCTCCATCCCCTGTGCCTCTAGACACTGCTGTACATGATTTATAAGTTATGGCCCGATGCCTGTCTGCTGTATCTGGCAAAATTTCTGGCTTTCCAGATTTCTATCTGGATATGGTGAAGTTGGCAGAAAGTTACCCAGACATGGTTTAGAATCTGTGCCAGTCTAAACTATCTGGCCAAACCTCTGGTTATTCAGATTGCTATCTGGATATGGCGAAGTTTTGCCAGAAATATATCCGAACGCAATGTTGGCTGGCTAGCCCAAATATTCGGATAAGCAAGCACATACAGTACTGTACTGTAAATGATTGGTTGTCCCATGCTCTATAAGATAGCTTTATTATTTACAGTACTTGAATAATAAATTGGTTGTTGACAAGAATTCAGCCAGTCTTTCTTCGGGCCTCATGTTATGTCAATAGTGTATTGCTGCATTTAAGTTGAAAAATAATTTGACAAAATTGAGTTTACTAATTTATTTGGTGTGGAATGTGTAGTGATCATGTGACTTAAGCTGAAATATGCAGTGTCATTAGTTTATCTTGATATAAAACATGCTGGCATCATCAGTCTTGATGAATTAGAATACCACAGTCTCCTGATAGTCAAACGTCGGTAGTTTTGCACCCCAGTAACTGGGCACCATGCAACAGGAATAGCTGGGCAGTCAAATACCGAAAGTTCTTCCCAATCTTTGTACCATGGTCTGATTGTTTTAGAACATAGGTAGCAGTGCCAGTGCTATCTCTTGCAAATTATTATTATATGAAAGTGCTCAAATGTTTATACAACAAAGATTGTAAAGGAAACCTGAAATCCTTAGACATTCCCTAACTTGGAATGAGAATTGTAAGAGACTATTAGAAATCTAGTGTATGCTTTATGATAAGATTTAATAATGTAAACAAAAAATTCCACCGTTTAATAAGGATCTCCTTCCATTCACAAATGTGTAGTTTGCTTCTATAAGTAATTTTTTTAAGTCTTCGTGTAATGTAGTTTTATTCCATAATTTTAAATAATGACATGCTGTTAGTTGTATTTTAACATAAATAGTCTTCGGTGATTATTTTTATGATTACTGTTTTGTAATAGCATATTTTTGTATGGTATCAAAATAAGTTAGAAGAATAACTTGTGTATGTAGGCTAATTGAAATATATTGATAATGATTAAGGATTGTTTTTATCAAGCCTCTCAAAATATTGGGTATGGTATTACCATGTAGTTATTTTAATATATATTAATATTTTTGCAATTTGTAAAATATTGCAACAGTATCTGAATATTATAATTCAAATGTATTCTCTAATGATACAAGGCAGTAATAACTAAAATATTGTTGATAACTGCATTACCCCGGGAATTAATGTATGATGATAACTGCATTTTAAGGGTTGATGAGTTAAAATACTGTGGAAATACTGGTGTAAAATAATTCACACCAAGGAAAATTATTTTTTTTTGTACTTGTACCCCAACGACCACTCACCAGCTACTCGCTGGCAGAGTACCTCTGCCACACGCTGAGCGGGGTCACAAACCAATACAGGGGTAGCGATCCCCTGGCAGCAGTCTCTAGCAACCAGCTAGCAGCTCTACTCAACAGGCACCTCCCTGTCGTTAGTCTCTACCCTAAGCCAGTCCCAAAGGTACGCCGATCTTTTCAACACTAGCAGCTACCACACTGCTTCATCGGCGGCGGCTTACTGGTCAATTCCAGGACCATGTAGGGAGACCGTGGGCTGCCCAAGATGAACTGTTGTCTCCGGTACTGCTGCCCCTAGACGTCACCTCTGTGGACACAAAAATGTCATCAATGACCTAGCCGGTATTGGCGAAACTATGAAATACCACTAACCCACTGGGGAGTTGACATTGTGTTCTGTAGCACACACTAGGTGGCGCTGGTCTTGATGCGTCACCTCACCAGAGGTCACTCACAACAACCTCTCTGGCTGACCAAGGCAGGAATCTTTAGCCATTTGCAAGTACTAGATAACCACCACCAGATGGCATTGTCCACATTATGTACTATTCCCAGGGAGTTCGGGTGCGGACTCTTAAATGGCGCTGGAACTGCCACTATACCCCCCTGACAAGGGTGACAAGTCCGTAACAGATAGTGAATGACTATTTAAAATTTTACAGCATGCAAAGCATACTGTCGGCCGAGCGGAGCACACTGGACTTGTGATCCTGTGGTCCTGGGTTCGATCCCAGGCACCGGCGAGAAACAATGGGCAGAGTTTCTTTCACCCTATGCCCCTGTTACCTAGCAGTAAAATAGGTACCTGGGTGTTAGTCAGTTGTCATGGGCTGCTTCCTGGGGGTGGAGGCCTGGTCGAGGACCGGGCCGCGGGGACACTAAAGCCCCGAAATCATCTCAAGATAACTGTGAAAGTATATAATTATTTTATTTTTGTTTTGATTGTAAAATTAAAAATGTACGTGTATGAAATATTATATTCAAATGCAAATATATACTCGGTAAGAAAACAATAATAAGACTTATACAGTACTGTACTGTAGCATATATTTATGGAATAAATTTACAAATATATATCACTATTACTGATGTTCTTAGGGCAATCTTAGATTGTCAGTCAGGCTGCATTTGCCTTGATACTTCCTTGTACATGCATATTTAATATATGAATTACAGTACCCTGCACTGCAAATTATAATTTTAAATAATAACTAAACACTCCATATTTATTAACAATTCATTAGTACATAGGAAGAACATTTGAAATATTTTATATTTTGTAATACTGTACATAAATATGTCCTGTATAAACAAGTTTCATAAACACAGCCCATTCTTCACTCTCAGACCACCATAAGAGCATGGAGATAATAGCAATGAGATGTCATTTATTTCAGAAATGCAGTATAAATAATATATTTTTTGTATATAATGATACTGTCATTTCAAAATCAATACAAACTCATATATTCATTAATAAATGTATGCTTCAAAGTGAAGAATGCATTTTAGTTAGATATTGGTAGCCCAGCATTTCTAGCCATATTTTAGAACATACTGGAATAAAACCTTTATTATTAGTCCAAACTGAGATTATATGCAAAGTTTGATAGTAGTTTTATTGCGAACTAATTGTTGCCATCTGGTTGCTGTGGAGGAAGCTACACTTGACCTTAACCGACTGCAGTGGTTTCATAAAACAGCTGTTCAAGTGGCCTGCAGACAGAACGTTTATTATTTGACATTCTGAACCCCCTACCAGTACCCTCTGTAATTTAATCGATATCCTGTCCCCCTCCCTTCTCTTAGCCACCATTATCAACACCAATACTAATTATCACTCTAACAATAACACACATAAGATCTTGTGCACATTACACATTATGAACTCATTATACTCCCAGTATTCATTACAAACACCCTTTAATCATTTGATCCTCTAAACTCTTTACACCACTCTGTATGCTGAGATATATTATTCTGGGTATCGGAATATACTGTGTGATCGTATCCACTTGATCAATTATTTTTTTCATATTGTGTACAACTAAATGGTTTAGTATATTTGAAATCTGTATAACCCTCAAGTGCATTTTTTAAAGTATCACAAAACATAAATATGTCAACAAGTGTTTCCATTAAAATGTTTAGCATGGTAATAGTAACCATATTATGTAGATTACCATTTCTCCCATTTATTTTCTTTAATTGTCAAAAGTTAAAATGTCTTCTGATAAGTAATGAAAGTTGTTGCAAGAAATTCTCTTTGTCTTGAGTGAGGGTGTTTGTATACCAGTATAATTCTTGAAGGTCACTGCTGTCACATAGGCATTTTAAAAGATCTCAATTACTGAGTACGGCGTTCCCGACAGGTGGGGCTGAACAGTGATGGTTCGAGGAATTATGCAAGAGGAATCACAGGCAAGTTGCATCAGTGTCCTTATTGTGTATATTCTTCAGTTAGAAAAGACCATCTTACAAAGCACATTCGGACCCACACTGGAGAGAAGCCCTTTTCTTGTCCTTATTGTTCTTATGGTGCAACTACCAAAGATAACTTAAGACAACATGTTCGTACACACACTGGAGAAAGGCCATTTTTCTGTCCATACTGCCCGTACCGTGCTTCTCAAAACAATAATTTGAAAACCCACATTCGAATCCATACAGGAGAGAAACCATATTCATGTTCCAAATGTCCTTACCGTTCATCTCAAAGGTCATCTCTACAATCTCACCTATTGACCCATCAATCATAGGGCACTGGAAATATGCCTGATATATATATTTGTAGTATTTTGTAATGTGTAGCCATAGTATTCACATTTATATACTTGGTTAAATGTTTGAATTATTTGTCAAACATTAAAAACATTAAGACTGAAAATGATAGCTGTGATAGAGATAAATAAAAGTCTTTATTATTTAGATAAGTGATCCTTCAATTATCAATGCTGCTTAGATTTGCAATACAATAAATCCATGTTTTCTTATAGAATATTCTCTTAAGAAGCTCAATTCATAATTCTTAAACTATTTATGTAAATAATTAATTTTATAGGAATTCACTAAATTAAGAAATGCAAAATCGAAAAGAAATTATCTTGAAAGATTTTAAATCCTGATGAGAGAAACATGAATTGAAAGTGGAATTTGTTTTAATTTAGAATACATTCTGGATTGTTTGCAGGATTGTTTTGTTTAGTGCTTTTAGTGATGAAATATTATGAGTTTGTACAGTACGTATATACATATGTGGGAGCTATAGGGCGGAAGAGAAAAAATATAATTTAAAAGTGCTGTATTAAAGGTTGTTCATATAGTAAAACTATTTGCAAAAAAGAAGTCATATGTTCTATCATTCAATTGCATTGTACTTCATGCATGCTATTGTAAAGTTAGCATGTCAGAATCTGAAGGTCATGTTTTGATTACAGTATTATTTTTAAGTTATCTGTGATTTGATTGTGTATTACAGTATGTGTTGTATTGTGTGTGTAATATGTTTGATAGGTAATACCTGCACATTAATTAGATTACAATACAGTGGCGCCTTGGTTAACGAATTTAATCCATTCCGGCACCGAGCTCGTCATGTGAAAAACTCATCTTGCGAAACAACAACACTGTTGTCAGAGGTGTCTGAGAACCAGCGGGAACACTCGTTAATCGAGCGAAAGCTCGTCAGTCGAGACAAATTTTCTGCAAGTGGCTTCCTTGTTACTCGAAATGCACGTAACTGGAGTTGCTCGTCACTCGAGGATCCACAGTACTTTTAATGTTGGAGTTGGTATGTCACAGTAAACACTATAATGTTTGTAGGAAAAATTGTAATGTTTAATAGCATAAGCTATTTAATGATTTTTAAGATTTCCTTCAGTTTACAGTAATTTAGATGATACAAAAATGTGTATTTCTTGTTTTGTACATTTTTTTTCGCTTTTCACTATTTGATTTTATATTTCATTGAACAAATTATTATGCCCGAAACGCTGCGCGTACTAGTGGCTTTACAAGATTGTAATTACCATATTATGTATCCTCACATTCCCAATGTACCTTCTTGTATATGCATAAATAAATAAATAAATAAATAAATAAATAATAATAATAGGAATATCATTATTTTCTTTATGAACATGATGTTTTCTATTCATCACAAAACTTTTGAGTCTCAGATGCTTCCAATTATCTCTTTATTTTTAACATAGATTTTGTTAGAAGTATGTATTTGGATCAATCGGGCATTCATTTTATTGATTTTTAACCCCTTTTAGTTGAAGTTGAATGAAAATAAACCCCCATCTAGATTGAAGTTTGCCCCCCAAATTCTCAAAGGTTCTTTTCATTATTATATCCAAAAATTGTTATGGAAAATGGGATCCCCAGGTGGCTGCTGTAAGGAAATTGGTTTCATAATAGCACAGCAAAATATTATACAGTACCTGTACTGTACTTTTATTAAATTATTTCAATATTCCTAGTCATTTAATTGTAATGTTTTAACTCATAATTCATCAATTTGTAAGTTAGAAAAACTCATAAATGTTTGGAAAACAGGAGCTTCAGAATGTGCTCTCTTCCACACCTAAAAATATTCTGAGGTCTGCATGAATAAGTATTTTTGCCAGCAATTTAGTACTAGAGTCAGCATATTACAATATTTTGAAGGTCAGGATGTGATAGT